TATACTTTGGTATCCTCTTTGTAGTACGTGCAGGTTGGGTTAACCAGGCAGGTGTTCTCTGCATTATAGTTTAAACACTTACTTTTTATATCTATAATGCAGTGAAAACACAAATGAAGGCTTTTAATAGCCATTCATCAAGCCAGGCCACAAATGAAGGCTAAGTTAAAGCTGAAAGGCTTTTGCAGGTCCAGAGACTCTGGTATATAGCATGCTAAGAATTTAGTGCACATGCTATGCGCAGATGAATACTTTTGCCAATCCAGTTCATTTTAAGTGTCTCTTGTTTCTGCTGCCACAGATAGAATATATTCAAGTACCTAAGCACAGTTTTGTGGGTGGAACTCCAACTCTTGGCAATTTTAACAGCCCATCTATTCTGGTCACAGATCATGACTCATCACATTCCTCCTGCCAAAGACTGCACTCCAGCTAGAGAAATGCTGTTAAGAGTTTACATTTGACTTGTGACCAAGAGAAAAGAAACCACACAAAAGTTAAATTCTCCAGGAAATATTAAAATGAAGGTGAAAAATTCTGAAAGTAAGATGAAACGCGCTTCCCCTCAATGCACAAAATCACTGAGCTTCATTACATAGTTCTTGGGGATGCTAGTAAGTTATACCTTGGTTTGCTCTTGCTCAAAATTCAGCACATCAACATGGTTGAGTTATAGCCAGCATTATCTAAACATTGACATTATTCAAACAATATTTCCAGGATTTTGCAGGAATGCCTCACCTTTCTACCAACACCAGATAAACATCAAATCCTATTTATTCCCCAGTCTTACTTCAACACAGAAGGATGTAATTCATACTCTATGTGACTTTGAAAGACCAAGGTATTTCTGAAATCTTAAGGCAGTGAAAATAGAATAAACTGAGTTTTACTAGAGTAAAACTGGATCAAAAGAGAGGTGATCTTTAAATAGTTCATTATTAACTACATGCAGCCTTGCAGCTTCCTACTATTAGACTGTATATACTTCAGGCACTGAAGATAAAATATTTTAACTTACATATACAAAGGGCAAGGTAATTACACATTTTATCAACTATTAGGTCTTTTAAATAGCAGGGACGAGAGCTCCCAAAGGCACTGCTGACAACGTCATGCAAGTCATCTAGTAATCGTGATCCAGCCTACAAGACACACAAAGAAAACTTTTATATCTGAAACATCATTCCAGAATCTCACAAGACCAGAAAGCTCTCAGTGTTTCAAAAAGAGATTAAATGTTAACTCCATTGGTCTCTTTTGTCTGAAATTCACTCTTTCTATGATATTCACACACAAAGAGCCAGAATCAGGATTAAGGATCTCATAAACCTCATTTAATTCCTTAAAAAGGCTTCTGTGGAGAAATGAATTCCAGTCTCTGAGAAAAGCTGTACTACTCACAAAAGCAGGAGGGAGGGGGGGCTTTAGAATTACTATGAAAACCGTGCTCCAGGAAACTTTTTAAACTTTTTTGGGAAATATACTTCTTCTAAATGGAGATGTCTGTTCTTTAAAATAGGCATTGAAAACAGAATCTTAAAATGTTTACACTTTAAAAATTGTAATTATTAAAGTCAATTTCTCTGTTGCTACTGATTATAGAATGATAACAGAAAATTACAAGAATCAGGTCAAAGTCAACCAGCATCTAAAAGGGCTTTTGGGGAGGCTTATCATTTGCAGGGATTCTCCCTAAAACTAGGGAAATGGTCTTCCATTGACAGGAAATAGGAGGCAGAGAAATGCAAACTAGTGGGTCCCCTGTAATATGCTCTTCATGTACCCTGCAGGAGGTTGAGTTCAAGGAAGAGAGAGAGAGAGAATAAAAGAATAAAAAAAAATGAAGACGACCTTACATTCAATTCCTACACTTCAGGTATAGTCTTACTTGGGGACCTCCCTATGAGTGCTAGCAGCTCTTTCTGCTGATGAAACTGTTATTATGTGGTTAATTTATGTCTCTGCTTAATGTAGGACATAAATGGACTGAATAGCACATTTGGTGAAGGGACAGGGAGTCCCTGGTGATGTAAGCTGGTGACCAGTAAAAGGTCCTAAGGAACTGCAATGCTGAAAATTTATTTCAAAATCAGTAAAGCTAATTGTCATGGGTGCCACTGCCTAAAACACTTGTCAAACTCAGAGATGGCTTGTCACTTCTGCTCTAACATGCTGTTGAGCAACTGCAATCTGTCAGAGAGCAAGAGCAACTTTAGTGCCTGTGCCAGTCCCAGCCAGGCTGAACCTCTTCATAAGTTTAAAAGTCAAAAAGAGCTTTTTGAGTTGGTTTGGATTTTTTTTTTTTTTTTCAGTTGGGGTAAATTCCAACATTACTATTTGGGCATGAGCCAGCCTAATGCTCAGTATGCCTGGGAGTCATGGGTGTTTGCAAATGCTGTACTGCTGCAGGAAACAGTCCCTGGGAACCACAGGCTCTGAGCTTCCCATTGCTTACCTTAGGGAAAGGAGAATACCCCAAGCAGGAAGGGTCTGTTTTGTGGAAGGAATGTTCATATAACCCTGTACATCACTGAACCCCAGAAGAGCTAAAGCTCCAGAGAATCTGCTATGTGAACGCAGCAACAGCCAGACAACTAACAGACCAGCTGGAAAGCAGCAAGGCAAACACTCAGTGACTAAAGCAGCCAGCAACAGAAGGGGTTACTGGGGGCTGCCACTTAAATTAAAGGTTTCAATATAATAATTTCTCTATTATCTAAAATCCTATGGGACTGGAATACCCCAGAAAAATATAAAAATCTGTCCTGGGGAGATGCTGCTGCCATCACATGGCATAGTAACTGCACAAAGCCAGGAAAAATGCTATGGTATGCAAGAAAATCAACTGTGTTTATTTTCTATGAGGCAAATGAGTTTGCTTAATGTGTACAGAACATATTAAAATACTAAGAGAGGAATTTTGATGAAAGTTTGTCAGTTTGGGAAACTTCTGTGTTTTGACTGAATTCTGCAACTAAAATCTAAGGTCTCGCATGACCCCATGCAGTAGACTCCCCTGAGACTGGGGCTCACCTGAAAAATCATCAGGATAGAAGTATTGTGAATAGTAAAAACTTCTTGCTGTCCTTCAGACGCCAGTATTCATAAGTGAAACTCTTCATGTCATTGAAGTAGGAAAAAAAATTTATTTACTAGATATTTTCTGTAGTTATATACAATATTTTCAATGTAATTATGTTATTTCCGTCCACTGTACTACAGGAGTAAAACCACCAGAGTTCCTTTATGCCTTTTGTCACAAGATGGCGATGTTGGAAGCAAGAAATACGATGGAGACCAGGGACAGAGCAGCACCCTAAAATGCTGGCTTTCACCACACTTTGGAGAAAATAATAAATAATCGGTAAACTCTGAATATTTATGTGAAAATCCACGTACTGATTTTAAATGTAAATCAATTATTGGAATTGTCAGCCCAGGACTATAAATCCCCTAATGCAATATAATCCTTGAATTATAACCATTATAATCCTTTCAATATAAACATTTTGGTGGGAATTCAACACACCTGTCCACACCTTTCACCATAGCAAATTCATTATGTAAGTGAGAAATAATTGTCTTTCCTTTCTAGGATTTTCTCTGCTTATGGTTTTGTTAGCAGCTATTTTTAAAGAAATATATGGAAGAAATCACAAGATTTTGTTAAAAGAGTACCCAAGTATGTCAGCAGAATGAGTTCCAAGGTAACAGCAGTTTTCTGCCGCAGACCAAGCAAAGCAGAGAAAATTTAAGACATGAATCCTGTTATTATTATGCATCTCCAAGTTTATTAGCTCTGAACAGAATCCACCATCCTATTCAAAGATGTTTTATGCAGAAAAACAGCAGAAGCTCATTATTCAAAGAGCTATAGAATCGTTAAGGCTGGAAATTACCTTTAAGGTCATCAAGCCCGACCACTGACCACCACCCCGTTCACCTTTAAAACCTGTCCTCAAGTGCTATATCCACATGCCTTTTGAACACTCCCAGGGATGGTGACTCCACCACTTCTCCGGGCAGCTCGTTCCAATGCTTGATCATTCTCTCAGGGAAGATTTTTTTCCCTAAATGTACGACCCTGGCGCAACTTGAGGCCATTTCCTCTTGCCCCATCCTTGCCCTCCTTTCAGGCAGCTGTAGAGAACGATAGCCCCCGAACCCACTTTTCTCCAGCTCAGACCCCCCCAGCCCCTCAGGCTCCCCTCACAAACCCACCGGGCTTGCTCCCAGGCCTGCTGGGGAAGCCGCCCCGCTGCGAGCTGCCATAACCCACAGGCCCACGGAGACTTTTCTCGGGGATGCACCGAGGACGGGCACAACAATTAAACCACCGCACGACAGCGCTGCCTGAGACCTCCGGGTGAGGCAGCGAGGCGGGACTCGAACCCAGCACCTCCGTTTCCCCCGCCACTACGCACCGACACAAACACAGCCCTCCTCCCTCCCCAGGCGCGGCGTGACGGCACTTCCGTCAACGGCGCGTGCGATGAGTGACAGGCGCGGCGGCCAATCGCGATGCGCGGAGCGGTGAATGGGGCGGGCGTTCGGGCTGGGCGGCTGAGGGGCGCGCGGCGCGAAACGGCGGCGCGCGAGGCGCGGTGTCCCGAGCGGCCCCGAGCGGCCCCGAGCCGCCCCGAGCGGCCCCGAGCCGCCCCGAGCGGCCCCGAGCGGCCCCGGTGCCCCTGACCCGACTCCTGCAGTGCGGCCGCGCCGGCCGCGGGAGCGTCTGCGGTCCTGAGCGAGCTGCAGCCTCTCCAGAAGTTGCTGTGCGTGCTGAGTTCTGTTTGCTGCTGGTTTCCGCGTGAGTCTCTTAATGGTGCTGCTAAGTCATAAGCATGTGAAGCAAGATGTACTCTTTTTTTTTTTTTTTTCCCCCG